AGAAAAAGCTCTGGAGGTCTATCGTAGTACAGTGACTATAATAATAATAATATGTTGTATACTGGAAAACTGCTGGAAGAGTGGATTTTTCCCCCCATCGGTACTGGTTTTGAACCTGGAGCACTTGACCACTGAGCCAAATCCCCAGATCCCTTTAAATTTTGAGAAAGGATCTTGCTAAGTTGCTTAGGGCCTCTCTAAATTGCTGAGGCTGGCTTTTTTTTTTTTTTTTTTGGTAATGGGGATTGAACCCAGGGGCTTTCAATCACTAAGCCACCTCCCCTTTCTTAAAATACATTTTATTTGGAGATTTGGAGACAGAGTCTTGCTAAGTTGCTTAGGGCCTTGCTGAGTTGCTGAGGCTGGTTTTGAACTCTTGATCCTCCTGGCTCAGCCTCCTGAGCCACTGCACCCAGCTGAGAGTAGATCTTTAATGTTCCTTCCACACACAAAAAAATAATGTAAAGGGCTGGGGTTGTTCATCAGTGGTGGAGTGCTTGCCTAGTTCGATCCTCAGCATCACATACAAATAAATAAGTTAAATAAAGGTATTGTGTCCATCTACAACTAAAAATTAAAAGAAAAATAATGTAACGATATGGGTATATTAATTAGTTTGATACATTCATTTTAATATATATACACATGCACATACATTCATATATATAAAAACACTGTATACGATGCATATATACAATTTTTAAAAAATATTTTTTAGTTGTCAATGGGTCTTTTTATTTTATTAATTTACTTATATGTGGCGCTGAGGATGGAACCCAGGGCCTCATGCATGCCAGGCAAGTGCTCTACCACTGAGCTGCAACTCCAGCCCCATATATACAATTTTTATTTGTCAATTATACCTTTATAAAGCTGGGGGCAGGACTGGGGGTGTAGTTTAGTGGTACAACACTTGCCTAGCATTTGAGAGGCGCTGGATTCCATCTCCAGCACCACCTAAATAAATAAATAAATAAATAGGGGAATAGTATATTTATATGATAAAGAGCCTTTTAAAACTATTTGTAAAACATGTGGCTTAATAGCTATAGACATAAATACTGAGGGAAAACTTGTTTAAAATTTTTTTGGGATGTACCAGGGATCGAACCCAGGGGTGCTAAACCACTGAGCCACATCCCCAGCCTTTTTTTTTTTTTTTTTAGAAAGAGAGAAGTAGAGAGAGAGAGAATTTTTTAATATTTATTTTTTGATTATCGGCGGGCACAACATCTTTGTTTGTATGTGGTGCTGAGGATTGAACCTGGGCCGCACACATGCCAGGCGAGCGCGCCACCGCTTGAGCTACATCCCCAGCCCACATCCCCAGCCTTTTTTATGTTTTATTTTTTACTACACTTAGGGCCTCCCTAAGTTGCTGAGGCTAGCTTTGAACTTTTCGATGGTCCTCCTGTCTCAGCCCTCAGAGCTGCTGGGATTATAGGTGTGTGCCACCACCCTGGCTCTCTTAATCTCTTTTTTTTTCCCTTAGGGTGGGGGAGGTACAGGGGATTGAACTCAGGGGCACTTGGCCACTGAGCCATATCCCAGCCCTATTTTGTATTTTATTTAGAGACAGGGTCTCACTGAGTTGGTTAGCCCTTTGCCATTGCTGAGGCTGGCTTTGAACATGTGATCCTCCTGTCTCAGCCTCCCAAACTGCTGGGATTACAGGAGAATGCCAAGGCACCAGCTCTTAATAACAAATACGAAAAGGGTAATCTCCACCCCACAAAAAACCTGAGCAAAAGGGGTAAAAATGTTATTCATATCAGTTGAAATGCAAATAACCAATATACATGAAAGGAAAATAAAGGACTTTTCAATTTTCTCTTCAAAGAAATGTGATTTAAAAAAAAAATCAGTATTGGGGTTGAACTTCACTGTTATCACAGAACCACATCCCCAGCCATTTTTATTTTCTCTTTTGTGGGCAATGTCAGTCTATCAGGCTGGCCTTGAACTTTGAAATCCTCCTGTCTCAGCCTCCCAACTCCCTGGTATTACAGGTGTGCCCACCACACCCTGATTGTGATTTGAAACGTTAATAAACCATGATTGGTTTCCAATCAAATTGGCAAAGATTAAAACTGGTGGCATACACCTGTAATCCCAGTGACTCAGGAGGCTGAGGCACAAGGATACCCTGTCTCAAAAAATAAAAAGGGCCAGGTGCGGTGGCATGCAGGCCTGTAATCCCTGCGGGCTCGGGAGGCTGAGGCAGGAGGACAGTTCAAAGCCAGCCTCAGCAACAGTGAGGTGCTAAGCAATTCAGTGAGACCCTGTCCCTAATAAAATACAGAATAGGGCTGGGGATGTGGCTCAGTGGTGGAGTGCCTTTGAGTTCAATCCCTGGTACCAAAACCTAAAATAAAATAAAATGGGCTGGGATGTAACTCAGTAATAGACTGCCCTTGAGGTTCAATCTTCAGTACTGAAAAAAAAAAACACAAAATGCTGAAAGATGCCCACCATTATGTTAATATCAATCATAGTTGGAGTTGTGCTTGTTTTTGCATTTTCTACTCTCTGTGCAATGGCCAGGGTCTTGTGCATGCGGGGGAAGCACTCTACCAACTAAGCTATATCCCCAGTTCTGAGCTTATGTTATTTTTAAGTAATGTTTATAACCCTTGAAATAACAGGGGCAAGGGCTTATGCACATTAATTGAGAAAAGTAGAATAAAAATTTAAACCGTGGTAAGATCTTAACTAAGTAAAGCATACTCAGGCAAAAAGTCTGGAAAGAAATCATTTAGTGATGTGGGTGATTGAAAAGGAATGCTCTTCCCCCTCCACCCCACTTACCTGAGTTTTCAGGTTTACTTTAAAGAATGTATTACAGGGGCTGGGGCTGGGGCTCAGTGGCAGAGCGTGAGGCACTGGGTTCGATTCTCAGCACCACACATAAATAAATGAATAAAATAAAGGTTCATCAACATCTAAAAAATATATTTGAAAATGATGTTTTACATTTGTTTTATTTTTTATCTGTTCCTTGTGGTTATACTTGGCAGTAGAATGTACTTTGACATAGCACACATACATGGCTTGGAGCTCCCCACTCTTTTTTTTTTTTTTTTTCAAAATATATTTTAGTTGTTGATGGGCCTTTATTTTATTTATAAGCAGTTCTGAGATTCGAACCCAGGGCCTCACACATGCCATGCAAGCACTCTACCACTGAGCCATGATCCCAGCCCCAGCTCCCCACTCTTGTGGCTTGCGTGGTTGGAGTGGCACGGTCATGTGGTCACAGGGGAACCCATTCCCCTCCCGCTCCCTTCCCTTCCTCCCCTGGTCGGGTGCAGTGACCGCCCACTCCCCCCTGCGCCCCGCGTTACATTTTAAGCACGAACAATCCTCAGGGCTGGGCGGGGCGGCGCCGGTCACCGCAGCGGCCGTGGCTGAGCCCCAGCCTGGCCACTCAGCGAGGTCTTCAGCCACCGCGACCCCGTCTCAAAATAAGAAACAAAAAGGGCTGGGGATGAGGCAGTGGAAAGCGTCCTGGGTTCAACCCCCAGCAGAAACCAATCCAAACAACACAACTTTGAAGTTACCACCGGCGGCGGGCTGAGCCGGGGCGCAGGAGCGTCACGTGGTGGGCCACCTGCGCCCACGCACGACCTGCAGGCTCTACCGCTTTGCGGGTCTGCGGCAGGGTCTGCGCACTTGCCGCGCCGCCCTCAGCGCTCCTGCCAAAGAGCGGAGGCCCTCGCCTGCGGCCCAGGGCTTCCCCTGCCCGCAGCACCAGCGCAGCCTCCTCCGCCCGGAGCCCGCGCGATCCCCCAGGCTCGGCGCTGCCCCCGGGGACGACCCCAGCCCCCGGGGCGCAGACGCTGGCGGGCCGCGGTGGGGCTCTGGCGCCCCCCGGTGGCTGACTCGGGATGTGCACTTATCTTAGAGGACGCGACTCCTCCAGATGTGATGCTCAACTGGGTGCTGGGTGCCTCGGCAGAGGTACCGGAGAGAAAGGGTTTCCTTCTCTGAACCTGCCCATCCCAGACAGCCTTGAGCCCCGCTACCCGTTTCCTCTTAGGCATCCCTTCCCCAGAGGCTCCGTGGGCTCTCAGCCTAGGGGACATTAGGGGTTTCCAGGCCCTTTTATTTGATTTCCCCATCTGTTTTCCACAATCCAAGATATGCCCCTGCCCTTTTCTTTTCTTTTTGAGATGGATCTCAGAGTTGGTGAGACTGGCCTTAAATTTTCAATTCTCCTGCCTCAGCCTCCCGAGTGGCTGGGATCACAGGTGCACGTGTCATGTATGATTTCACGAGTTTTCAACCCTCAACTTCTCTGCCCAGGGAACATATAGTTTATCATCCATATATTTTTGTTCAAAGGAGAGCATGATGTCACAAGAGCAGAGGTCTGCAGTCAGACCCTTGGCATCTCTGCCACCTGCTAGCTGTGTGGCCTCAGGTATGTTTGCTGAGCCTTCATTTCAAAGGGGAAAATAACGACCTCTCAGGACAATATAGAGGTCAAATGAGATCCTGCAGAAATACTTTGGAAATTAGAAAGCGACATTAACTGCTTGTTTGCAAGCTCAGCCCTACTTTCTCCCTATTGTCCTTTTACCCAGCTTCTCTCCCTCCCCACTTGTCCTTGCCCTTTGGCCCCGAGATATCGACACCCTCAGACCAGGTGGACATAAGTCTTTGCATTCATGCTCAGCTCAGGGTGAAGGTGCTTGATCAGTGCTTGGCTGGTTGAAAGAAGTTAGCACTGAAATGCCCTCCTTTGGACTCTGCCTGTCTGAGGGATATCCACAGAGGGAGAGCCACCTGTGGATGGGTGACACTTATGTCAAAGCCGCTCCCCTCAGCCATCACTGAGTGCCGGGTGTGACCCTCCAGTGCTCTGTGGACTTTATCTCTTCCTTGTCCCCCAGAGCAGGGGTGAGGCTGGGCAGCAGTGAACATGAGGACACAGCCTCCACGCAGCCCTTTGTGTACACGATGACGCCTACCAACAAAGACCACACGAGAGCCAGGGGTAGAAACAAATAGTGTATTGATTTGGGGAGGAGAGAAGGGATGCAGATGGGCAATGGGGAGGCAAGAGGCTCTTAGTGTTTGCCAATAACTACTGCCAACCACCCTCTACCCCTCACCGTCCTCCTCTGTGGTGGGCCCTAGCAGGCTCTCACCCTTTCCTGTAGGCTCCCTCTGTCTCCTCCCTGCACCCCACTTGACCTTGACCTCCAGTGGCTGGACAGAGCCTTAAGCTCTTAGCCAAGGCTCTTAAGCTGGGAGAAGTTAGTCTCAAACTAACCTTCCTTCCCTCTTCTTCTACCTTCCACCTCATTCCCATCTCTTGTCTAAATAAAATACAGAAAAAGCAAGCACAGCTGGTACCTGGGAGAATCAGTTCACCCCGGGGTTGGGGACAGGGGTGGGGACTGGGGGACGGGGCAGGCGAAGGAGCCTCAGCCAAGTGTAGTGGAACCAGGGGAGGCCGGGCTCAGCTGTCCTTTCTCTCTCTCTCTTTCTCTGAAGCTGGCCTGGCAGTGGGACAGCTGTCCAGAGGAGGCTGACGGGTGGAGAAGACTCCACGCCTGCCTCTCAGGCACCATGTCATGGGGTCCCCGGGGCGGGGGCAGCAGCCAGGGCAGCAAAGCAGAAACTGGGTTCTGTGAAAGCACCCCTTTCCCTTGGCTCCTAGAGGAAGCCCTCTTTGGTTTTAAGGCAGATACAGAGTTTCCTGGAAGCAGGGAAAGGATGGAGGAGAAATTAGGATTGAGATAGAGGCATTTTTTTTTTTGCTTGTTTTTCCTTCAGTATAAAACCACTGTAGAAAATAACTTCTCTTAGAAAAACAAAACAACAAAATACAGAAGAAAAAATACCAAAGGGGGTATTTTTCTTTGGCTTCAAGCCTGCTCCCATGAGGTGCAGGGCAGGGGGTGGGCATAAGGTGAGGAGGAAGCAGGTGGCCTCGGCCCCCACCCCTGCCTGGTGGGTCCCAGATTACATGATGCTGCAGTTCTGGGCGCTCTAAGAGGAAAGAGAGTAGACAGGTGTGAGCGCGGCGGCCGGACACGCCCTTCCCAGGTGTGGCCTCCCCCAAACCTCACACTCTAGCCCTGCCCCTGCCCTCGCGTCTGGGGCTCAGACAGGAGGGGCAGGATGCAGGAAGGGGGCGTCTAGGACTTGGGCTGCAGGGCGGAGGCTCCCGCTCCCCCGGGCTGCGGGAGAGAAGGCTGTCCACCCGCCAGAGATTCCGCTTGTCCTAACCCTCAGTGGCCAGGGTCCTGCCTATGGGGAACTGGAGGCGAAGGGATGACTCACCTGGGTCCGGGGGCTGGAGTTGCCCAGGAGGTAGGAGCGGGTGACCAGGCTGTCCCCGAAGCTGCCACCCCCACTGCCCCCCACACTGCGGTAGCTGCGAGTGACTGTGACACTGGAGGCGGAAGAGCCAGAGGAGATGGATCCGCCCACCTGGGCTCCCGAGCCGCTGGCAGATGCCTTGTCGGCCGGCTGCCCGCACGTCCCGCACAGCACAGTACGGGAGCGCAGGTTGTACTCGGCGGGGTCCCCCGAGCTGCTGCAGTGGGAGCCCTGAGGAGGGAGACAAGGCTCAGGCGGGACGGCGAGTCTGGGACTGGCTGCTAGGGCCCAGCACCCAGGCTCCGGGCTCCTACAAGGTCCCAGTCACCAGGCAGGAAGGTGGGTTCTGTGCCCAGGGAGCCGAAGGCCACAGGGACTTGGGAGGTCAGGGACTGGGAAGAGGGATGTGAAAGGGCAGGAGGGTCAGAAAGACCTGGGGACAGAGAGAGAGATGGTTTGGACTCCTCTAAATCTCTTAAAATCAAAAGGAAAGGGTGAGGGGAAAGCAAGCTCGGGGGCGGCAGACATGCAAAATCTAATACGGGAGGGACGAGAATAGGAGGAAACATTTCTGCAGAGAATTGAGGGGAATGAGAGGACACGCATGCAGCAGGGCTGGGAAGGGAGGAGAGGAGAGGCATGCAGCAGGAGTGGGGGAGAGAGGCGGGGCTGGGTGCCCCACCGCTGTCCTCCTGTCCCCTTCCCAGCAGACACATCCAGACCCCTGTCCACTGCTCCCGTGGGAAGACTCCATGGCATCAGAAAGTTCCCGCTCCCTTCCTTACCAGAGTAGGGCGCCCAGACACCTGGGCTCCCTGTTCAAGTAGAGGGAGGAGAGAGAAGAAAAGCCAGGGCAGCAAGTGAAGTTCCAAAAACATTCTTTAATGAAAAGACTTTGGCAAGGGAGGCAGGGAGAGGCTGCCCCAGGCCTGGCTGGGTGGCCCAGTGTGGGTGGGGCCTCAGCGGCGGCTGCCACTCACGTGGTGGTGATGGAGCAGGTCATCTCCATCCTCATCCTCATCGTCCTCAACCATGGTCACTGAGCGCACCAGCTTGCGCATAGCCACCTCCTACAGGGACACAGGACCAGAACCAAGCATCAGGGGTGAGGGCCAGGGAGGGAGCATATCAACCCACAGTGACCTCGGGGAACCTTTCTGTGGCCTGGACTTCATCCATTCCGCTGCTCACTCTGTCCTCTGTGATGCTGGAGCTAAGGAACCAGCTTCTGTCCCAGATGGACCCTGCTGAGCCCTCTGGGGAGGGATGTGGCTCTGCCCTTCACAACGCTTGCTGGTAACTTCTGCCCAACGTGCTGGGCATGCCCAGTGAGGCAGGCCCAGGGCAGGTCTCAGTGAACACAGGCGAGCTCCAGCCTGGCTCCAGGACTTGGGCAAGGGAGACCTGGGAGAGGCTAGATGACTTGGACTCCCTGGCAGCTCAAGAGCCCAGGAAGGCAGCTCCCTCTCCTGGGGCTCGCAGGTGAGCCTGTGGGGAATCACAGATGAGCCTCAGTGTCCTCATCTGTTTGCCTACTGGTTCTACACCAGAGAGAGCTCTGGGATGTGGCCGCAATAGGTTCCCTAGGGGTAGGAACAGCTGGCTCCCACTCTGACCGCCTGGGGGGCCGCCTAGGGGCCTATCCAGGGAAGCCGCCTCCAGCAAGGGGCCAGCCGCAGCTACTCACTTCCCCAGTGGAGTTGATGAGAGCCGTGCGCAGGCTGTTCCCACAGCCCCAGGAGTTCTGCGCTTTCCACACCAGGTCGGCAGGGGGGCTATGGGTGGCTCCGGCTCCTGAAGCCCAGATCTGAGGAAAGAGAATTCACTCTAGCACTCCTGTCCTCAGGCCAACCCGTCCCCACCTAAGGCCACACCAGAGTCCCAAGTACCCTACTACTCACCGTCACCACCTGCCCAGCCTTCAGAGTGAACTTTGGTGGGAAGCGGTAAGTCAGCAAGGGTTCGTCTCCATTCTGGCGCTTGATCTGCCAGTTGCCCATGGACTGGTCCTGCCAGGAGGGGAGGGGAGGGGAGGGGAGGGGAAGGAAGGAAGGAAGGAGAGGCTCAGCTGGGCTCTTGAGTTTATGGTGCTCAAGGGCCCAGGCAGGTGAGTCGTGGTGGTGGTGCCTGAAATCCTGCTACGGGAGGCTGAGGCAGGAGGATGGCTAGAGCCCAGGACTTCAAAACCAGCACGGGCAACATAGTGAGCACCCCGACTCGAAAATAAGATGAAATAAAACAAAAAAGAGTCCAGGCAGAACTGCTACCACCCACATTCACAGGCTGTTCCCTCCATCCTCTGCCCCGGCCGGTCACTGCCCTTCTCCCCAAGGATAACAGCTGTGCCCTGTGGAAACTTGAGCTGTACCAGGCACGCTGGTATTTTTTCTTTCATCTTCCCAACAGCTCAAAGACTTAGGGGTAACTGTTTCCCCTATTTTATTTTTTAATGGTATTAGAGATTGAGCCCAGGGGTGTTCTGACATCCCCAACCCTTTTCTGTTTGGTTGGTTGGTTGGTTTTTGGTACCAGGAATTGAACCCAGGGCACTTAGTCGCTGAGCCATATCCCTGGCCCTTTTTATATTTTATTTTGAGACAGGGACTCACTAAGTTGCTTAGGGCCTTGCTAAATTGCTGAGACTGGCTTTGAACTTGTGATCCTCTGGTCTCAGCCTCCGGAGCCACTAGGATTACAGAGGGGCACCACTGCACCTGGCCCTTTTTATCTTTTTTAGATTGGGTCTTGCTAAATTGCTGAGACTGGCCTCAAACTTGTGATCCTCCTATCTTAGCCTCCTGAGTCTCTGGGATTACAGGTGTGCATCACCATAACCAGCTTCATCCCAATTTTACTGATAAGGAGACTGATTCTCTTCACGGTTAAATAAAGTTCCCAAGGTCTCAGAGCCACCAAGTCCAGGAGCCAAGAGTGGGACCCAGCTGTTACCTTAGACCCAATCCAGGGAGCCTACCTCATTGGATTTGTTGCGCAGCCGCACAAACTTGCCCTCCTCGTCCACCTCCTCCACAGCCACCCGTCCGCTGGTGCGAGCGTGCTGGGAGAAGCTGCTGCGGCTCTCAGCAGTGGACTCCAGCTTGCGCTTTTTGGTGGCGCTCCCCGCACCCTGCGTCTGGGATGAGTGGGAGGAGGCACGGCCACGGGTGCGCTGCGAGGTGGGGCTGGGGGACAGGCGTAGCCTAGGGAAAGGAGACGAGGAAGAGGACTAGAGGTCAGGGCGAGCGGAAAGCCTTCCAGAAGGTACTTGCTGGCACCGCCTGACTCGGCCCAACCCACCTCTCCTCCTCGCCCTCCAGGAGCTTGCGGTAGGCGTGGATCTCCATGTCCAGGGCCAGCTTGATGTCCAGCAGCTCCTGGTACTCGTCCAGCTGCTGCTGCATCCTCGCCCGCATTTCAGCCATCTCCCGTTCCTTCTCTGCCAGCAGCCGCCGGCTCGTGTCCCGCTCCCGGGCCAGCGAGTCCTCCAGGTCCCGGAGCTTCGCCTCCTTGGCTGCCAGCTGGGGTGGAGGAAGCAGGGATCTGGTGACCCTCCAAGGGCTTCAAGTATGGAGAGGAGGGTCATGAGGTACCAAGGACCCTGTTCAGAACTCATTGCAGGTTCTAATGTGGTGACCAGGAAGTCCTTCCCAACATCTAACTTCGATCTCTTGCTCTGAGGCCAGAGCCATTTCCTCCCGTCACAAATGGCACAGCCATTGTTATTCTACCAAATAATACAGATGATTTTCATGGCTGATCTGTGAGTCAGGGAGGACAAGAAGGGGCTCCATTTTCAAATGGGAAATGAATTTTCTAAGAAGTGGAGGCAAGGGAAGAGAAAGAACCAGAACAGCAGACAGGCCTTGGGACTCCAATCCCAGACCCTGCCTCCCAGTCTGTGGTCCTGGGGGCCTGTTCTGTCACCATACCCAGCTTCCCCTGCCCCCGATTTCACAGATGAGGAAACTGATGTTCTTCAGGGCTTCTCCCTACATCTGCGCAGCCCAGTGGTCCCTGGCAGAAGGAATGAGCGGGGCATCACCTGCTTCTGCAGCTGGCTGAGCTGGGCTGAGAGGCTGTCGATGCGGATGCGTGACTGCTGCAGCTCCTCGTGGGCGGCCCCCACCAGGTTGCTGTTCCTCTCAGCAGACTGCCTGGCGTTGTCCAGCTGCAGGGAGCACACAGAGTCAGGATTGCAGGGATGGGGAAGGACGGAAGGAGGGGCCCAAGGACAGCATCACTGCTGAAGCCCCAGGTCCTGGGCCACCCTGAGCTCCCTGCCACCATCTGCCTGTCCTCCCAGGCATCTCCCAGGGCGGGCAGGGGTGGGCTGTGGGGGCGGAGCAGTGAGGGCACCAGGGAGAGAGGCACCTTGGCAGAATAGGTCTTCTCCAGCTCCTTCTTGTACTGTTCCACCTGGTCCTCATGCTGGGCGCGCAGCTCCTGCAGAGCATCTGCCAGCCGGCTCTCAAATTCACGCTGTTTCCCATTATCAATCTCTACCAACCGGGTCTCATGGCGGCGCTTGGTCTCACGAAGCTCCTAGAAAGGTTGGATCAAGGACACAGAGACTGAAATCAGAACTGGTCCCTTAGAAGTTTAGACCCAGAAGCTGGAGCTCCGCACACAGCCCTAACCCACAAGCCACTGTCAGACCCACTTTAACTCGGGAGCTGGTGCTGGCCATCCCTGACCCCTGTCCACTATACAGGGGACTCAGGCAGTGAGCTCTGCATACAGCTTACCCTCTAGTCCCAGGACGGTGTCTGCCACCACCCAGCCCAGCCCCCTGGCCTACGAAGCACAGTCCCCACCTCACTGTAGATGTTCTTCTGGAAGTCCAGTTCCTCCTTGAGGGTCTGCAGCCTGTTCTCAGCATCCACCCGCCGCAGCATCTCATCCTGAAGTTGCTTTTTGGCCTCACCAAGAGCTGCCTCCAGCTAAGAGGAAGTGGGAAGAGTTCAGAGAGACGGGTCTCAGAGCACAAGAACTGGAAAGAAGCTGAACAGTGGCTCTTCACAGGCCTCCTTTATACATGAGAAAGGGCCTGGGGAAAGTGAGGGTCTTGGATGTCCCTGGAGGTGTCATGCTAAGATTGACAAGGTGTGGTGGTGCACACCTGTGATACCAGCAATTTGGGAGGCTGAGGCAGGAGGATCACAAGTTCGAAGTCAACCTCATCAACTTAGTGAGGCCCTCAGAAATTTAGTAAGACCCTTGTCTCAAGATAAAAAATAAAGAGGCTGGAGTTGTAGCTCAGTGGTAGAGTGCTTGCCTCACACGTGTGAGGAATTGCGTTCGATCCTCAGTCCACATAAAAATAAAAAAATAGGGGCTGGAGCTGTAGCTCAGTGGTGGAGCGCTTGCCTTGCAAGTGTGAGGCACTGGGTTCAATCCTCAGCACCACATAGAAATAAATAAGACATTGTGCCCATCTACAACTAAAAAATATTTTTAAATTAATTAATTAATTAAAAGGGCTGGGAATGTGGCTCAGTGGTTAAGCATACCTGGGTCCTAGAGTGGAAAGGGAAAAAAAAGGAGTGGCTCTCATCTGCCACAAAAAGAGCCTCTGAAGAGGTCTGAGCAGGTGACCACCTGGCTGGACATTCGTTTTGGAAAGCTCAGGTTGGCATGGCGGGGGAAGACTGAGGGAGGCTGGGACTGGAGGAGGATCCCATGGAGAAGAGGGTCTAGCCCTGGTTTTGAGTTGACCTGCCGGCTTCTTGCAGTCTCTACAGTCTCTTGTGGCATACTGTGGAGGGACCTGGGAGGGAGAGTGTCCAGATGGCCCTGCTCTGAGCAGGTGAGACTCTGAACTAGGAATAAGCCACTTCTGCAATTTCGTCCCTAGTTTGTAACATGAAAAATTGGAGAAGAGGTTGGATAGCAGTGTTTTGAAAGTGAAGGCCACCATACATATGAAGAGCATTTTAAACATGTCCCATAGTCAAGAGCTGGCCACAGGAAGGCCAGACTGGGAGGGATCCAGGGCCAGTTCATTGCAAAGCTACATGGAAATGTTTTGTGGATTACTTTCTTTCTTTTCTTTTCTTTTTTTTTTTTTTTTTTTTGCACCAGGGATCAAACCCAGGGCCACTGAGCCACATCCCCAGCCCTTTTTATTTCTTATTTTGAAATAAGGTCTTGCTAAGTAAGTTTCTTAGGGCCTCACTAAATTGCTGAGGCTGGTTTTGAACTTGGGATCCTCCTGCCTCAGCCTGCCGAGCTGCTGGGATTACAGGCGACTTCCACTGCAATTGGCTTGAGGATTACTTTCAATTTACTGACCCAACTAGCAGCCAAAGGAGGACCAGATATGGTCTGGCTGGGCAAAGTGACACTAGTACAAGTGAACAGCTCTGGGACTGTGTGACAGACCAGGCACCTCCTAGGACCAGGGTGGAAGAATGAGTGTGCATGTGTCAGATGGGGGTCAAAGGAGGTCCCTGGAGCGTTCCTACCTTGGCCACCTGCCCGCGGAGGTCGTGCAGCTCGCCCTCTAACGTGCGTTTCTCACTGAGAGCAGTGCTCAGCGCAGCCTCCTTGGAGTTCAGCAGAGCTTCCAGGTCCTTGAGCCGGGCCTGGGCGGCCATCAAGTCGCCCTCTTTCTTGGTATTGCTAAAGAAAAGAGGGAAGAGTGGGTTTCAGAGGAATCCAGGTCCGTGGAAAGGGCCGGGTTCCCAAGAGGTCGGCCCATGGGGCTGGCTCTGCAGTCCTCCTAACTGCCAGGAGAGGGCGCCCTTACTTTAGGTTTGTTTACATTGCCAGACTCTGGGGCTGGGCTTCTACCTCCCACAAGGTTCCCCAAAACCCCTTTCCTTCCTCTCCACCCTTCCCATGACTCAGGGCTCAGGAACGTGCCTGGGGCTAAGGGCAAAGCTAGATCCCATGATATGAATGCTTTTCCCTCTCCTCCCATTCCTTCCAAAAGAGACAGGGCATCTTTGTCTCCTGCCCCTTCCCACACAGGGCCTTAACTTTCCCCTCCCTGAATAACACCCACTCTCCATTCTGCCTGAGCTTCCCTCCCTAGGAAGAACCCGACAACTAGGCTCCTGGCCCTGGGCCTTGTGTACCTAATCCTCAGTTTGAGCCCCAACCTTGTCAGTCCCTTCTCCTAACCCTTTTATACACATGGGACTATGGGAAAGGAAAGTCCAGTTAGAGCTCAGGAGACCTGGGATGAGGACCATGAGGGGAAATTTGGGCCTTTCCTCTCTCAAGACTGATCTGCACAGAATAGGGGAGGTCCCAGTCTCCACCGGAGCCCTGAGAGAAGGCTGAACCCTACTCATCTACCCACAAGCCCTGGCATCTGGTCCCACATGCGGCTCCCAGGCCTTCAGTTCCATCTGCACTCCAGCCTTGAGCATCCTGTTCCTCAAACGGGGCAAAGCTCTGGGTAGAACCAACAACCCTGCTCCTGCACCTCCTGGGCCCCTCATTACTTCTGCTAAAGAACTGTAGAAGAACAGAGGTCCTAGGTTCTTTGGAGGCTCTGAGGAACCCAAGAACTTTCCAGATGTGCCGATCCAAGAGCCTGGTCAGCTGCCATATGTAATGCATCTGCTTTCATTTCTAGGATTTCTTTATTTTTTATTTTTCCCTCAAGCACAGGCCCACCAAGGCAGATGGGAGAAAGGAAAACCAGACGTGGGCAGTCAGGAAAAACCTACCCAGCAAGGAGAAGTACAGCCCTGCTAACAGACTTTTTCCTGCCACTAAAGCCCTAAGCTCCACACAACCCAGCAATTCACTCTGAAGCAGGAGAGAGGGGACTTGCAGAAGCTGTGAAGGGAGGAGACACTTGGGAGATACCGAATAAGGAGTCGCTCCCCTCTAACTGGGCTCCACTGGGTGGGATGGAGATAGAGGGACACCCAGAGGGGCAGGGGAGTTGCCCATGTGCTTGCTCCATCCACCCCTCAGAACAAACTGTTCAATGCAACAGTGTCTGACTCCTGCAAAAAGAGGCCCTTCTAGACCAGAGGATGTCTCCTCCCTCTCAGCCTGAAAAGCTAAAAATAAAGTCAAAACCCAGCTCAGGTTTTGGCTGCCATCCGGCCCAGCCCCTGGCTGGGAGCACAGCCCCAACTTTCCATGACTTCAGAACTTTTCCGAAGCTGAGGCAGCTGCAGGGGGAGGAGGGAGGATGAAGAAAAACTCCTGGTAAGTGAAGCAACACAGCAGACCTAGACTCAGAGCTCCTGGGGCTGCTCCCAGGCTGGCAGGGGCCTCCCAGAAGAGGCCTTTCTACCAGGAAGGCCAGGGCTGCAGCTGGCTCTAGATTCCCAGAATTTAGAGAACCAGCTGGTGGATAGTACACTCCTGTAATAGCAGTGACTCGGGAGGCTGAGGCAGGCGGACTGCAAGTTCAAGGCAACTTAGCAAGACTGTGTCTCAGAAAATAAAAGGGCTGGGGATGCAGCTCAGTGCTAGAGGGCCCCTGGGTTCAATCCCCAGTACCAAAAAAAAAAAAAAAAGAATTTAGAGAACCAGCTTAGACTTGGCTCAACTCGGCATCCTGCTTTACAGATAAGGGACAGAAGAAGAAGGTGGATGACCCAGTGTCAAACACTGCAAGCTACTTCAGGGATGCTGTTCCAGTCTATCTTGGCCACTGGTTTGGGACTCCTCCTCCTCCATCTCACTGCTTTCCCAAGTCACAAGGCTGGAGAGAATGGAGAAGACTGCCCTCCCCACCACAAAATGCCCCTCGGACAGGGCCAACCTGAACAGGGAGAGGCAAGACACTTTCACACCGTGTCTCAAAGTCATCTCTCCCTAGTCCTGGCTCCAAGACCTCCTCAGATGCCAGAGGGGGAGCTCCTGGGGTTCTCCTTGGAAATACCCTTTCCTTGGAAGTACCTGGCAAACACTGGCTGAGGAAAATGGAGGTGCATGGTTCCTGGTTCCTGCCCTCTGGCCTCACAGTCTAACAGGCACAAGGTTGCTTTGCTTTGTTCGTTTTCATATATGTATACATGTTGTAGATGGACACAATACCTTTATTTATTTTTAAGTGGTGCTGAGGATGGAACCCAGTGCCTCATACATGCTAGGCAAACACTCTACCACTGAGCTACAATCCCAGCCCTCTTTTTCATTTTCTGTGTTTTAAGTCTAACCTTTTTACTTCCTTCTGTTGTTCCCAAAGATGGTGGTGGTGGTAATAGTGTACAGTCACAGTCAGGTGTGGTTGGCACCTGCCTATAATTCCAGCTACTTGAGAGGCTGAGGCAGGAGGATTGCAACTTTGAAGCCAGCCTGGGCAACTTAGTGAGACTTTGTCTCAAAAATATTGAATAAAAACAGCTTTGGATGTAGCTCAGTGGTAGAGCAATCCTAGTACAGCAAAAATAATAATATAGAGTCATGTCACACATCACTTAATGATGGGGTTATGTTCTGAAAGATGTATCATTAGGCAATTTTGTCATTGTGTGAACATCATAGAATTTACTTACACAAACTAAGCTACAATGTCACTCGATTATCAATATAATCTTATAGGACAGTGGTAGAACCACCCTTGTTCACGTATGTGGCCAGTGTTTGATAAACACATTATTATGTGTTGCATTATTGTAATAGCAAACACTTATGTAGAGCTTATTATGTACTAAGCACTTCTCTAAATATTACAGTATCACCTCATTTAATCTTCACAGCTACCCTGTGAGACAGACACTCTAGCTCTGCAGTTACAGAAACTGAGGCAGACAGATGGGTCCAGGGTCCTGCAGCCTGTACACAGCAATCGCCAAATGGCTGCTGTGCTGATTCCGCAAGTGCTCTAATATATTGGTTTCCAACTAAATTAAGGGAGCCATTTCCCTTTCCCTCCTGGAGGTTTTGACTAGCACCAGAGAGAGAGGCGATTAGAACTCAGACCCGCCCAGCAGATGGGGGGGAAACCACGAGAGCAAAGAGAGGGAAGCAAGAAAGGGCCTCTGTGGTTTCTTAGTCAGGCTTGGGGAGATCCCATCTGTGGGGAAGAAGCCACTATCGCCCAAGAGCTCATGACTCAGACCTCAGGAGCTCTGCAGCCAGAGAGGCGCATGCACACACCCGAGAGCTGGCTGGGGGGTGGGACCCAACCCCCAACCCAGCCTCCCCTCCCTCCTCCCTAGGCCTGCCTGTCCACCACCAAATGCCATTTTCTTCCTAGAAAAGGGCTTTGGATCTGGCAGGGAAAAGGCACATATTCAGTTCCCGGGGGGTGGTGCTGCCAGGCCCCAGTCCATTGGGGGGTGGCAGAAAGCAAGCTGGCTGCAGGCTGAGTGCCATCTTCCCTGGGCTGGAGAGGCAGGGAGGAAAGGGTGGAGCAGGTCGGGGGAGCCGGGAGTGGGTGGGAGCCTGGGCTCCTCAGGTGACTCATGCCCAGGCAGACAATACCAGGGCAGGGGTCGGGAAATCCTCTAGTGCTCACAGGGGGCCTGGTGGCAGGCCAGGTGGCAGGCATGGAGGGCCAGCTCTTCCCTCTCACGCCCGCCTTGCAGCTTCCCCGAGCCCAGCAGCCTCTGGGGGCAAGGCGGGCTGGGCATCCTGTCTAACTCATCCCACGGTTGGCAGGG